GGACACACATACACACATAAACACATACACACACACAGACACACTAACTGCAAAGACTCCCATTTTGTGCTTCGCACATGGGAGTCAAAAACAAATGACAATGTAGTTGTAAAGATTGATTGAGATCAGTCAAAGTATGTCAGAGACATGGCTATTCTAGAGCATTCATCCATTTTGAATCTGATCTGAAACAAGCAGCCTGTCGGCTGAGATAGCCCCGCTTTTACCAAGGCACATTTCAATTAAAGAACTAAAGATATCATTAGAAAATGAACAATATGTATAGTATGTATAGCAATCGAACATGCTGTTTTCAATAAGAATTTATAAATATCACTTTTTACCAAAAATGACAAAAATATTCATCAAAATTAGATAATTGAAGATATCATCATGAAATGAACAAATCTGAGAGAGGTTAACCTGAGGTACCTATATATATGGTATCAAAGCAATCAGACCTGCGGTTTTCAACAAGTCGAAAATATCACTTTTTACCAAAAAAGTCCAAAATAATCATTAAAATTAGAGAATTGAAGAGATCATCATCAAATGAACAAATCTGAGAGAGGTCTACCTGTAGTACCTATATATATATATATAATAGCAAAGCAATCAGACTTACGATTTTCAACAAGAAGTCAAAAATATCACTTTTTACTAAAAATTACAGAAATATTCATCAAAATTAAAGAATTAAAGATATCATCACAAAATGAACAAAACTCAGAGAGGTCCACATATAGTACCTATATATGTAATATCGAAGCAATCAAACTTGTGGTGTTAACAAGAAGTCGAAAATATCACTTTTTACCAAAAATTGCAAAAATATTCACCAAAAATAGAGAATTTAAGATTTTGACATGAAATGAACAAATCTGAGAAAGAACCATTCAAGATACTTGCATATCAAATTTGAAAACATTCTGACTTGCGGTTTTGAAGAAGAAGTTGAAATTTTAAAGTTGACGACGAGGGACGCCGGACGACAACGGACAATCAGTAATATGAATAGCTCCGCTGTGTCGACTTTGTCTAACGAAGACTAATAAAAGCTATTTCTGACCAAATATCAATAAAAAATATGCCACAACTGAACCATGAATGCACATAAACATATACTTGTATCTTCCATTTTGCGCAACTTTTTCTGTTTAGCAAATGCAGTCACATCCATTATCTTGAGGCACTCCCACAAACATAGAAAATAACTAAATACATACCTTGATATCAGTTTGTATTGTGTTCTGCATCCAAGTCTGTATATTAGTACGCATAGTATCCAGATACCTGAGAATATCATTGACAAATAAAAGATAATCAATCTGTGTGCCCTGACAGCTGATGTGCACATTAAAAGTAAGTCACAAAAGTACAGGGTAGCAAGTTAGCAAACTTTCTTATAACTTCTTTGATCAACTTTTTACATTTCTATGATATCATACTCATCAGTAAAAACTTTGCATAACATATTAGCATTGTTTATGTCACATAACAAATTTATTGAAGAGTTAGTAGTTATGAAGGTCATATCTTTACAGTAGAACTATCTGCAGTCAATCTGAGAATAAGTTAACTTCCAAGCTAGCTATCAGCTGGCTTTGTTTATTCATGCAAACTTTTAAAATGAGTAAAATCTGTATTAGAAGTCGCACCCAATCTTTTTGAATAATTGAGAACCAAAAATTCATCATTTCTCATATGTGTAGGTGCTCTAATAGAAGCTGCATTCCCTCTATTGCATTGTAATAGAAGCCGCGGTTTCTAATACAGATTTTACAGTACATTGTATCACTGTCATTGTAATTTCAACTTTCCTGTAGCATTTATTAATATGTTACTAATAGGAAACATATTTGGGCACATTATTGCACAATTTGAATATAAAGCTAAGCAAGTTTTAGACAAGATATAATTCAGGATAACTAAATATTAAGTTATGCTCAGAACATAGTGAAAGTTTATAACTGCTCATTGACTGAAAGTTGCTCTTAAAACTTACATGTACAATAAATTATTGTTATTGGCACTATTTTATTACTACAGTGTATGAATACACATCATACTGACATTTCTACATACCGGGATACAATGCAATAACAATATTCTTATCACAGTTCCATTTTCATAATTTTATAAGAACCAAAAACCTTTCCAGGTTGCCATTACAACAATATATCATTTTCAAATTGTACTTTTTTTATATTTTTAAGCAAAAAGAACATGTGTGATGGATATTTTCAATCTGTTTTGTGCCAGGTTGACAGAAAAGACATTCCCATTAAACGAAAACAACAAACTTTGAAGAATAAATTTGTTGTCATGTTTCAGGTGCTAAAATACAATACACTGAAGGTAGATCTAATTTTATTCTTATTATTACCAAATGCGTCTAATAATACTTTATCTACATTTAGCACAGTTACCTGAAAGTCAACACCCATAAACAGCAAAACATTTTGGTGAAAGAAAAAATTACTGAATCGCCCCATTCCCATTAACAAGTATTATTTAGCTGTACAGTCCGCTGAACCGTTTTTTTTTGGATAGTAAATGACTATGAATCAAGTCAAAAAATGAAGACCATTAGATGTGGATGTGAATGTCATTCCACATATTTATGACATATTTATTATTCATGGTTTCACCTACTGCATTTTTAACTTTGCCTCCACTTCTGAGGAGAGTAGAGCACCTAGTTCTTTCAGATTCACCTTAAGATCAGGATGTTTCATCAAATCTGGACCCCTAAAAACAGAAAACAAATTGGTGATGCTTTGTACAGGTTATATGCTTAGTATTGTCTAGCAAGAAATTGTGCCTGAGCAGAGCAGATTATAAGTCCAATGTTCTCCTAACGCATGTATGTCAATATTTTGGCTGTAATGTATTTATTGCAGACTCATATAGAAGACCACTATTAATTAATAGTACATTATATATAATTTTTAATTATTAGTTTTACTGGATGAATGAAACCTCGGTCAAATTGAAATTTCATTATTTATAATGATGCGTTCAGACCAATAAAATATGTTTTAAAGTTTGGAAGTAACTTCAACTCTCACTATCTTGTGAGTTTCTACATGAAATGATAATAAATACCTGGGCTACTTGATGTTTTGGATTTAGTAATAGTCACCACCCGACATGATTTACTGAGCTCACAACTCATTTATTTTATACAGTGGTTCAGTATTCAGACATCAAAACATAATCTTTCAAAGTGTTCCTAATTTTTTTCAATTATTTTAGATTCAGCTTTGGGCTTAAACTGCAGCTCCGGGTGTATAAATGGAAAGATGGCTGCCAGTTTTCAGTATGCAAATGACACTCAAGTGTGAAACATTACTTTTGGGTGCTCTGCAAAATCAGTCTTTTTCAACAATCTTAACGCATGTGGTGCTTTATTTTTATGTCGTACACAAACATGAATATATCTGCAATACAACATCGATGTTAATTTACAATTCCAGAGTAATGTCAGTATGATTTCTACATAAAAGCGATTCAAACAGTCACTTTGACTGCTCAAAATGACCATCAGTCATGGTTTTATGCAAATGACCATCAGTCATGGTTTTATGCAAATGACCATCAGTCATGGTTTTATGCAAATGACCATCAGTCATGGTTTTATGCAAATGACCATCAGTCATGGTTTTATGCAAATGACCATCAGTCATGGTTTTATGCAAATGACCATCAGTCATGGTTTTATGTAAATGCAAGGTGTTGTTTGTTCAATCTTTAGGTATGTTTTTGTGATTGACGAGTTGATGATGTAAGTGATTTCATGGAGCTTATAAGAAATGATATACTGTGAGTTGCTTGTCCGGTCACTGCGAGGTGGTCCGGGTCGAGCTAGTGTAGATGGCTTGAGCTGGGGTGTGTACAAGAGGGGAGAGACTGTTCACAAATATTACAATAACTTCCTTAGTGTATGTGCACAAAAAAAAACATTCATCATTACTGGGCTTGTAAACTTGGCTTGATTCTTAATTTTCCAACAGCAACAGAGGTGAACTAGGTCAGTTACGAGAAGGGAAAAATAAATGGTTTTCACCGATTGTCAATGAAAAGACGAACCAAGCTGTGGGTACTGGCCTAGATCAGTTCATTGGCAGAAGTGGTTGGTCATGATAACATTATAATATTAGGGTTCGTTTGAAAGGCAAATACGTCCCTGACAATATGTCGAGTATGCTTCTTGAATTTAATATATAATGTTCCCGACAATTTGAAAAGATGTTATCATGTTCCCTGAAATATAACACTGCAATGAAAATATTGGTGACCAACAACATTGCATAAAAAAATGTATGGGTGTCTGTGTTCAAGACCTTTTTGTAACATATGCTATTTAAGTCTACACTTTTGAATATTCAAATTGCAAACAATAGGTAATATTTAGACAATATAAATATATAATATTTAGACTTACTCATATTCTTTCAACCAAGACGGTAGAGATACAATATAAATATATAATATTTAGACTCACTCATATTCTTTCAACCAAGACAGTAGAGATAAATGCCAGAAATGCTCGATATTTGATGATTTTTTAGCACAAAAATGGCCACCATTTGGCCATTTTGAATAGGATCGTCAAACCAATATATCTGTCTATCTATGACATGATGTATAATGAATATTTAAAATTAGAACATAATCAGTGAAAGCAAGTCAGAGATCTGACACGAGAACCACATTTATTCATACAAAATGGCTGCCAGTCGGCCATTTTGAATCTTATCTGAAAAATCCATCTGTAAACAGACAAGAAATGCTTGATTTTTAGGATTTTTTAGCACAAAAATGGCCGCCATTCAGCCATCTTGAAACAGATCGTAAAACAAAATGATATGCATCAAGGTCCTGTAATGTCTAATGTATATACCAAGTTTGAACAAAATCTATCAGTAAACAGCCGAGAAATACTTGACTTTGATGATTTTTAGCACAAAAATGGCCGCCATTCGGCCATCTTGAATCAGATCGTGAAACAAATTGACGTGCATATGTATAATATCATGTATAATGTATGTATGATTTGTATTTGATTGTGATTGGTCCAAGCATTTCTAAGATACACGTTCGGGCGCACGCACAGACGCACCCATGCACACACACACACGCACGCACACAAGGAGGTCAAAACATAAGTCCCCGTTTTCGGACTGCGTCCGAACAGGGACTAAATATATATTATTTAGACTCACTCATATTCTTTCAACCAAGACAGTAGAGATACAATTTCAGTGTCTTTGAGTTGATCAGATATCAAATCTTGCAACTGTAAAATATCAACACAGAACAGTTTTAATCAAACTTGTCATACAGATTCATGTCGCCTGCACATAACAGTTATTTATCATCATAATTATTTCCACACTTGCATCACATTTTAATCATGCAGTAGAGACATAAAAATGTGTAATATTACTCCATATTTCCCATGAGTGGCAAGTCTGATTGGTCCTTGCACATAACTTGAAATTGACCATTTTCCGTTCACTGCGAGAATCATGCGTTATGAAATCGAATGTAAAAACAGGACAAACAAAGGTCATAGCGTCGTAATGGCGTCAAACATCGCGTGGGATTCGACAAACGCGAAAATATTTTGGGGACATTTCCATGCTTAACAATGTGCTGTACACATTTGATGACAGGCAATTTTGATTAAGTAAGGGTATTCGAAAGCAATATTCCTCTGTCGAAGATCGGCTGGTCGATATGAGCTACGAAATAAAGAAACTCGAATTTCAAAATCAAATCGTTCGATTTTTGCGGCAGACGTTCGACGCGCGTCTTACATGCATCTCGCGAGATCTCGCAATTGTACGGAAAATCATTTATTATCACCAACTAGTCACCTACATTTTGTACTCAAGGATCAAAACATATAATTATATATATATATATATACATATAACAGCGTCCGGATAACTTTCGGAAATTCCGTCGCGTTTCGGAAAGATTTAATTTTCACAACTTTTGAATATTTATTCATACTTTTAGGCTAGTGAGGAGGTTATAATAATTTTTCATTTCACTTTAACTCTGTTTTTTTCACCCCTCAGACCCCTTTGAAAAGTCA